CAGCCCGCATACAATAGTACATTCTTATCATGATTCCACATTTACAGAGATTACAATGCACTGGTGAAGTTGCAAGCTTATCACAGCGTCATACATCTATAGGTCTCTGAAACAAACAAATCCCAGAAAACATGTTGCAATGCTTACCGTTCCTGTTTGTATTACTGTGTCGTGGGCTGGCATCCCAGCCGAGCATGGACCCCGTGGGGCTCGAGCGGGAGTGGGACATGGCATGGTCCTGTTTGGAAGTCTGGGTGCCAAGGTCACAAACGTGCCCGGAGTTTGCTCTTTCGCAACTCCGCCCTCGGGGACCGCAGCTGCCAAACCTCTGCAGAGAAGGGGACATGGTGTTTCCGCTGCCCTGACACACAGTCACCCGACTTGCGGCTTTTATTTTCCCAGCCACGTGTGAAGTGACATCTTCACTCTGTCCCCAAGGGTGGGCGGGGCACGACCATTATGGATGACTGTTGGAGAGATTCATTTACAATAATATTGTTCTAGTTTCATATGGCTGCATCAGAATGCCTTGTTTAACTCCAGAAGTTAATATTTTGTTTACTAATAATTGGAAGGCAGTTAGATGCGCCGTCTCTGGAGCCAGAGCTGGCTGGAAGCAGAGCTCCATCGCTTAGGCAAGTTCTGTGGCCTGTCTGGGCCTCATGTTTCTCATCTTGAAAATGGGTACAATAATCGTGCCTCCTCCCCAGGGCTGTTGTGAGGTTAAGTGTGTCTAGCACAGTCTCTGGCACATGCTAGGGACTTAGTAAATGCTACTTCCCTCTCGGCCAGGCAGGGTGTCTGAAGATCAGGAGGCGATCCCTAAGTGCTCTGTATTTGACGCCAGGAGCATTTATTGGACCCCTACTGTATGTAAATCACTGTGCTGAGCACACAGAGAGAGGGAAGGTAATATACAAACAAGATCCAATCTCTTTGCTGGAGGAGGACTTATTTCAAATCCCCGTGGAGTTCAGGGAGCATTTATTTATCATTTCTAGATGCAGCTGCTGAGCTGGGCCAGAGAGTGAGAGCGAACATTTCTGCCTCCTGGAGAACAGCTCCATTCACACTGACTCTGGGATAGTCAGCTAAGGCAGAGGTGTGGAAGCCTGGGGAAGAGGGTGCGAGTCAGTCTGCCCAGAAGCCCAGGAGAAAACCCCATTCATTCATTCATTTATCCATCCATCCATCCATCCATCCATTAACATGGTCAATTGTTGGCCAGATGGATTAGACATTGGTGGTGAATGGGCTAGCAAAGGGAACCTCAGCCAATCAGATAGTCCCCTTTGGAATTCAAGTGTGGGCTAGAGTGAGTTCCAAGGACATTGGTCACAGGCACATGCTCTGACCAAATTCTTTGGGCCCTGAGGATCCTGCACCTCAACCCTATGGCATTTCCTTGCTCCTTCCCCCTTTCCACGCTCGGCCCCCCGTCCCTCCCCTTTACCCTTCCAACAAGTGATCTTCAGCTCAGTCCCACTGCTGGTAACCAAGGAGTCTGGAGAAGATGTTGGTGGGGCACAGGGCTTCCCCAGGGCATCAAGAACACTCGGAGGGTCTGACTCTGAAGGCAGACCAGGACAGCGCCTGGATTTCACCTCTCGTCCTGGGCCACGTTGCTTCTTGCCTGGGCCTGTGAGACATGCCCTGGGTGAGGTTTTCTTTGGGTAATGAGGTGTTTCCTGCCTGCCCTTGGGGCTTGCTACTCTCAGGCCTGGGAAACTCACTTTTCCAAGTTTGTGCCACTCAGATGCTGTGCCTCAGAGCCTTACAGGGCACAGGGTGTGGGGCCTGGTACAGATGAAAAATCAAGGTCAACTCCCCAAAGGCCAGCTCTCCTAGAGGGAAACTGCTTCAAGAGCGCATGTGCACAAGGCCCTGGGCTCCACCAACTCTCCTTACTCGCGCCCACCCCCATCCTGCAGGAGGGAAGAGTATGAGGAAAGGCTTGGAGATGGAAAAGACAGCCTGTGTGGTCATTTCCCAGGCAAGGGGGAGCCATAGAGGGTTCAGGGGCAAGGGGTTGGGGCTGTTCATTGATTCATTCTCAGGCACCTCCACTGTGCTGGGCCTGTGACAAGCACTGATCAATACAAATGAATTGTGCGTTCATGCACATGAGTACATACAGTTACTACAAATTATGATATAGGGGACACATAGAAAAAATAACACAATTTAGAAACAACAACAAAATATGCAATACTCTTCGTTGTACTTGACACTGTCTCTATAGTCTATTGATTTTTCACAGAATGCATTCATTGATTGTTGCTAAACTGTTGTATTTGTAACCAGTCTATCTATGGTTTGCAAGTGCCGAATAAGTTCCAATATGATGAACGCAGATTCATAGTTTTGCTTTCATTAGTAAGATGAAAGCCACATGTGGTCTCTGTTGCATAGTCGTTTATTTATTTATTTTACTTACTTTTTTTTTTTTAAAGAGAGAGAGGGAGAGGGACAGAGACACATCTATTACCTGCCTCCTGTACACCTCCTGCTGGTGAGGGAGCCTGCAACCTAGGCATTTGCCCTGACCTGGAATCGAACCAGTGACCTCTTGGTGTATGAGATGGTGTTCAGCCACTGAGCCACACTGGCCAGGGCTATTTATGTATTTATTTATACAACCCTTTCAAAATGTAGAATCACTCTCAGGCAATTCACAGACAAGCCTTGGGCCCAGTGTAGCCCATAGGCTATTATTTACTGATCCCTGATCCATGTTTTTGAGATGGTTTACATCTACCCTATCTGACTGATGGAAACGCTGTGTAAGAGAGTATCTCTTCCCAACTCTGCGTCAGTGACATCACACGGGTCGCTTGAGATTGGGCAGTACTTACACTCTCTAAATGGGCAGACCCTGAAGAGCAGGGCTTGATTTATTGCTTGTAGATTGTCTAGACTTAAGAAAGTAAGGCACTAAATGTTGATAATCCAGATTAAACCTGAAATGTGTAACCATTACATTATAAACAGCACCCATAATTTGAGGAAATACTTTTCTAATATTTGAAAATTGCAAAAAAGTTACTGAGTCTTGGGGATATTCACCATCCTCACGGTCAGATATATGTTTTTATTGATTTTTCTTTTTAGAGAGAGGAGAAAGGAGAGGTATAGAAACATTGATCCGCTGCCTTCTGCACGGCCCCTACTGCGGATCGAACCCTCAACCCGGCCATGTGCCCTGACAGGGAATCAAAGTGTGATCGCCTGGTTCCTGGGTCCCCGCTTAACCACTGAGCCACACCCAGGTTTTTAAAAAGATTCTCTGGAACCTTAAAAACATTGACTTTCCTTACTGGGTGTTTTCTGCCACCTGGTGGTCATTTAATTTATTGCAAGATACGGAAAACGCCCCCCACCCCTTCCCATTCAGTTTCACTTGTCAATCAACCTGCACATCAAAAGGTTAAGACAACCAGACTTGCTTTCCTCAGATGCTAGAAAGCAGTTCTAAGCTCACAGCTAGGACAGCGTGAGAGGTATACAGAGAGGCCCTGGGAAGGTAGTTTGGAGTTAGCATGAGCTGGTATGCACAATGTTCTGCCAATTTTCCTAGGGCCTTAGTTTGAATTTTTAGTGCACCAACTTCGCTCCCACCTTTTCTGTCTTTTCTATGACTACAGGTCCTGTTTGGACTGTGTTTATGATTTATCATCAAATGCATTTGAATTCATTTTGAGAACATATTTTTGAAAAATTTGCATAGACTTGGGGATAATTACACACATTTAGGGTGCCATAAAATGAGGGTATATTGTATTAAAACAGTGTTTTCCAAAATTATCTGGCATTAGAACTAGACAAAGTGATGCCATAGGCCTA